CGTCGCGGCGTTTGCGATAACCGAAATTCAATGAAACGTAAAAATTGGGATGTAAAAAAAAATGAGAGACTAAACGAGATCGACTAACTCGAAATTGATTCTTTCTTGGTAATTCTTTATGATTACCCTCATAATACATAATTATTGTATTTATTAAGGGGATCCTATAGCAAAAATAATTTTTTGATATAAAATCGATTGCCCTACTCTAGATTTTTGCACTTTAATTGTGTAAAAGAGTTTTGCAATTCTGTAAAACCAATTCAAATATTTCTTCTTAGTAAAAAAATTTTGGCAAAAATATCACTATAGGATCTTCTTAACAAAATGGGAAAATCGACAAAATTCATTATCAGAACAATCTGCGACGGATTATCGTGAGATTGCAGAAACTTGCAAAAACGTTCTTTCAATTTGTCTTCAACTATAATTCTATCTGAATTCCATGTTAATATATATAACTAAGATTTAAATTCCAGCTCCTCTCAATCGTTGAAACGTTTAATGTTAATGATTTAATGAGACGAGACTAATAATAACCGTTTATCAAGAGTGATTCATTAAGAAAAGATCGCGATAACATTCACGTTGGAAAGAACGGTTTATTTGTTCCGCAACATCCTGCAGAGCCCGTTCTCACACCGATGGCGATGCGCTGCTCATATTGGAGCGGCGCAGTAGATAATCGGTCGGAATAGAGTCTTACGTAACGAGAGAAAACAGATGGGCCGCGATGGAACGCGGGTACTCTCTCTCTCTCTCTCGCGAAGAAAATGGCGAAGTGCGAGGGAGGTTTGCCCGTGGGATTAAAATATAGGCTGCGCTATATACGGACACGGCAGTAAACCCATACGTAAATAACTGTAACGAGAGGCCCTACATCCGTTACTGCTGCGAATAAGCTTTACGGCCGGTCCCGCGCGCAATCCGCCCGTGAGCAATTCCCGACGATTAATACCTTTGGCATCAAAGTCGCGATATCGCGACGTCGCGTTCGGAATTTCCAGCCATTCGTACATTCGCGGAATCGCCGTAAAACGCGCGACAGACGGCGACTGTCGAAACATATATCCGGAATTCGGCGCTACAATTTTTTTTTTAAAGCTAGCAGAATAATGCGACAGAAAATAGAGTGTTGCAACCCATTAATCTTGTTTATCTGTTAGTAGATTGATCAGTAAAATAATTTAAATATCTGCTAATTTAAAAAATGAAATTATTAGTGAAAATGTTGGAATTTAATTTGAATAGATAAACTAGATAATATCTCTGAGCACCCTGGTAATTTATGTAGCATTAGTTCAAGGAACAATATAAAGCTTCTGTCGGTTAAATCTTTTTGATTATAACGGTAAACGGTCGCAGTCAATTAAAAGAAGGTCTTGAAATCTCTTTCCGGGCGCGTATATATCTCACGACATAATGGGACGTATCCGCGTTATACTCCGCGTGGGCTTAGTCAAAACCGTTCCGCGCAATTATCCACGCAATTTATTCGCGACGGCACTTCGCGTCGCTTAACATAAGAATATCGGGCGAGCGTGCAAGCTTGCCCCTGAGAGCGAGAAAAACGAGTGGCTATGAAAAGTTTAAGGGAACGGGATAAGGGGTGTAGGTACGTATAGCGACGAGGGGAAGGCCACCACCGGCAAATCCGCGATAAGTATGCGCAAAATGTATGAGAGATTTCGCGCACGGAGCGGATATATGCTTACAGAGGACCGAAATTCGAGAGAGCGCGACCTAAGCATCGCTGCGCTGGCGGAATACCTGTCGTAGAATTTTTTATACAAAGCGTGGTGCAAAATAACAAACTACAATTCCTTTCGATCTTAGAGAACTTTAACTCTATATATACAGCCTTGGCCAAAGTTATTAGTCACCCTCATTATCATTATACCGAATCTAATACCAGGAAAAACTTTTATTATTTAAAATTTATTTAATAAATTAGCTTAAAGAAAGTTGTTGAAGCTAAGCTAAGCGGTTTTATTTCTTCCAAAAATAAATGTTATTTTGAAAAAAATTTAACTTTAAATATAGAGTGCCTAATAACTTTTGGCCAAGGCTTTATAAAAACAACGCTTGTTACGCACGTGAGACGTCAGAGAAATTCGAGATATTTTTAAATCGAAGCGAAATTAAACTCGCTCGCTACTAAAAATTAATTATTTTGTTATTGTATCAGTAATAGTTATGTCTACTTTGTGAACTTTCAATCTGAAACCTATATCTGATGGCGAAAAATGTCTAAAGACATTTAACTTTTCTCTTTTCTCTTTCATCTTCTCAATCTTCGAAATATTTCTTAGATTGTACATTCCTTTTTACATTTGGGCTCGCATTTATTCTATACGTTTCGCATCGCACATCGTTCTAGACCTGTTAAGGAGATAGGAAGCTACCGGGGTTAGATGGATGCGCGAGGGAGGGGGGGGAATAAAAGCGAAACAACGACGGCGTTTAGAACGTTAGAGATGATGAAGACTGTAAATTGCTGAGAAAGGAGGCGAGTGGCATGCATCTCTCTCGACTCGTCGCGACACAATAAGAAGGGGAAACCGACGAGAGAGAGAGAGACGACGATGGTTAAAGAACCGGGCGGTGGAGGGAGGGGGAGGAAGGGAGTGTAAAACCGTACAAAATGTGACATTACCGGGGACAAGCGATCATTAAGGCCATCCCGTGGCTAAACAAAGGGATCATTGAGAGCGACTTAAAGCGGGGCTGCAGGCAGTTTGGAAACTAGTCCGCTCAGTCGCTCGAACAAGCGAATTGTACATCGCCACACTTTCACAGATTTTCTCTCCTCCTCTCGTTCCTCTTTCACTCGTTCTCTTTCCCCCTTCTCCCCCCGCCCACTTAGCGTCCTCCTTCCCTCCTCCTTCGCTCGCGCGCTCGTTCGCCTTTGCACTTCTCCGCATCGATGCACTTCGACCTTTGGACAACGGGAACATCTCCCACGGGTGCCGTGCGGGTTTCCATTTTGATTTCGAAGTTGAATTGATCGCCCGTTCGAGTCTTAACAGCGTTCAAGCGCTATTTTCCGACGAACGTTGAATTTTCGCTCGGGAAGAGGCGCGTACTATTTTCCTGTTACCGCCCTCCATTTGAAAAATGATAGGCCTTTCTTATTGCATTTAATTATGTTCTCTGCTAATCAAAGATTGGAAATTACAAGTTATCATATGTTTATCTTTCAGACGGATTTTGTCCATTTTAAAGCTTTTCAAGGAGAAACATAATTCGGAATCGCGAGTATTTACGGTATTGCGTTCCGTTAAAAAAAAAAAAAGAGACTATGATAATAATCCCCGCCATACTCGCTACAGAAATAACACCCTACTTCGCGCGATACGACGCACGGTGGCTTAAATTTTCATGTACCTACATTATCCGGCGCGCCTTGCTATCAGGTTCAATTGCATACCGATTGGCCCGATATTATCGATCCTCATACATCGAAGAGACGGAGCATCACTCGAGCTCGGCGTAACAGCGTATGCACATCCCCCTTCCCTTCCTTCCCCTTTCCCCCCTCTCTCCTCGGGGGTAATCTCATTTCTTACCGACAACGCGACGAGATCGGCGACGGCCGAATGTTGTTAACGTATCGTCATTGAAATCCGATTACATGCTCCGCCGCCGTTCTCGTGCGGACAAAAAGCGGAGGAGAGAGGGAGGAGAATAGAGACAGAGAGAGAGAGAGAGTGGAAGAGTAGGATGTCCACTGCGAAGCGCGCGTAATTTTCTCCCTTTCTTCCCTTTCTTTTTTTGCGAAACTTTTTCCTTTTTACACGAGCCCCGATCGTACGGTTGCAATCCCGGGGAATTTATTTTCTCGCCGATCGGCGCCGGGTACAAGGGTGCGCGCTTCGTGGTGAATTTACGAGGGGACGTACGCGCGGCGGTGGCGGCGGCGGTCTCGGCCCGAATCCCGGCCGCGGATGCGACCTGTCGTTATTTCCTTTTTTGCCAACCCCGGGTGGGTTGACGCCGGCATCGAAATCAGAATTTTATTACGGACAGGTGTGTGTGTGTGTGTGTGTGTTTATGTGTGTGCCTCGGTGGTTCTAAACCGCGTGAATCACCGAGAGCGGGGAATACGAATAATAAACCGAGGCGACACGGTCAGAAATCTCGCGCCGCGAGAATTATTAAGGGGTCCGAGAAGAGGGAAAGATCCGATTATCCATTTAAGGGGGGAAAAAATAGAAAAAATTAAAAATCCGCGCGTCAGAGACAGACGAATAATTGCTTTCGAATATATACGTGAAAATTCGATCTTTCGCGATTTGTCTGCCGGCGATACCAATGAAAGGCCAACAAATTGGAAGCCATAGAGTCCCGCGAGGATCATGAGTGCTGTAATCGTAACCGCACACACATTTCGCTTTATTGAATATATATTTTTGCGTTATTTGCGCACTCGTTCGTGATGCGGTTAGGTGTCTCATGGCGGCCGTAACCGAATTTACATAGGGTGGCCGTGGCCGCGACGCACCGGAACAGTTATCGGCTAAATAAACTGGAAAATGGTCCTGGCTCGCGGAAAATGAACTTTGGGGAAATTGCCGCCGGTGGAGCGCCGGAGCTTAATTGAATATATCGAGTTAATTAAGTATCTGCATTCTCATCAATATTAATATCATTTATATTAATCAGGTAGCAATAATGGGTAATGTGGGACGTCGCGCGCAGGAGCGTTTTACCGGCGTTGTAGAAATGATTACTCAAGTCGCGACAATTAATTGCGTTTTGCGGCAATCGAACGCCGCGAATGTATTAGATCAATTCCGGCATCTGCACAATCGCATTTCACCCCATACAAATGTGGATTACTATTATAATACAGATCGGTTTAATCAAGAGAGAACAATATTATCTATGATCCAATTCTGATTATTCGTGGATTTCAACGTTCTAATTCAATCGTAATTACTAATAACGTAATACCTGAAATCGTATTGATAATGTGTAAACTATTTCGGATTTCTTACTGTATTCCATATGGTGTGCTCGATTATCGATTACTGTCGTACATATGTATGATCCTTATGATCCTTGCAGTATTTTCTTCACGGGCTGCTTTCACGTCATATCTAAAACAGAAAAAAAATATTTTGTTAATTAATGAATCGAGGTAAACTAATCGTGCGACGATTCTCTGATCGTCTGAAAGAATATACTTAAACTTATCTCCGATCGTAAAAGTCTATTAAGAGCAGTTATAGAACCGTTAAGAGTGATTATTTCTTTAATAAACATTATAAATCACTGAAGGGCGACAACCATCAATTATCGTTAAAAAGTGCTGCGGTGTCACGACTGTTCTGATTGACCCTATTAAATATTAGACCCCCGTGGCGCCGGGATCTGTGTCAAGTCTCTCTCTCATCTGTCGAAGAGACGTAGGCACAGCCACATTCCGGCCGAGTCATCGCCGTAACATCATCGAACGCCGCATTCGGAAAAAAGAATATCCTCTCCACCTACGAGTAACGCGCGCACGCACACGCACGTGCTGCACAGGCAGCGCATCCTGCGCTGCGCGCTTAGAGAGTGTTCCCCAATCCCCGCACGACGCGGGCGGAGAGAATCGACAATTTGACGGATCGATGACCGTTCAACATGCCGGCGGACTTGACCGTCTCTCTCTGTCTCTCTCTCTCCTCTTTCCCTCTCGTCCCCCTCTGCCTCGCTGTATGTACATTCCCGCGGGATTGCGCGGAGGCGTGAAGGCATCGCCATTATTTATGAGGACCGTAAATCACGATCGATCGATCCGTCAGGTCGATCGCTCGCGCGCGCGCGCGCGTACTCGTCAAACGCGCTCCAACATCGGTCTCGTCGTCGAGGAAACACTTTGACGAGAGATGCCCGCGTATGATGCAACTATCACGGCTATCACCGTGACGCTAGTGGAATTATACCGGGGCAAACACAATATCGCGCGTGCGACATATCCGCGTATACATGTGTGCCGCGCGTACATGTGCATCGGATGTACCTACGTCTCCGCCGACACGGCCGAGATGTTATTCTTCGTCGAACGCGTCACTGTCGCTCGCTATTTATCACAGTTTATTACCCTCTACCGAGAATCCGAGAGGTAAAAGTACGAAAGAGACATGCGCGAGACTTTCGAGATTGTCGTCGATACAGAGTTATACGCGATACAGAGTTATGACACTTTAAATTATATATCGAATAACATCCTACCTATATTAGAAAAAAAAGTATAAAGATCCAGAAAGATAATATCTGTATTTGTTTTTTTTTAATTTTACCAATGATTATTTGTGATCTTTCATCAAGTGTCATCAGCTCACGCTTCGCGACTTCTTCTTTAACAAATAATCTAGTTAAATTGATAATAAGAGCGGGACGGTTTTAAAGCGATAATTATATAATAATTAAATAAATAAATACTTTAAATTAAAAAAATAAATACTTTAATACAAATACATAAATACAAAATACAGACGTTTCGATTTTAAGATAAGAGAAAAAAAATAATCTGGCAATCTCTTTCTTCCTTGCTTTCTTCGGTTTTCCTGAGGTGTCATGTGTCGCCAATTAAATCATCGTGTCTTTATCGCGTCTAATTTGTATGGCGCGACATGGCTAAAATAAATAGCAGCGGGGAGAGACAAAAATTTACTTTTTTAAATTTTACCGATTAATTTGCCATGCTTGGCTTATCGCGTCTTGCCTATACGTTTTGTTCGTTCGTTACTCTCGTCCATTAGGTAAAGACTTTCTCACACAGGATGGCTCAGATTCCGCAGCGTGGAAAGCGCTGTTGCGAACGATATAGAATTCCTGATTAATAGGTGTTTCAGTACCGGCGATTTACGATGATTATGACACCGATGACACCGCGGAGATATACAGTTAATTGCTTAATAGGTGCCGTTTACATCGCTCAATACGCCTTCGGCGATCAAGCCTTCGGCTTTTCCCCGATCAATAAAGCTGCAATTAGCGATAATACACGTGATTTTTCTCGATTAACATCTTGCGGTGGGATAATTGCGAGAGCGCTAAATGAAATTGCGGCGATTGAAATTATATTAGAGTTTTCGAATAATAATGAATCTTTTCGTGTCACTCGGCGGGCTGAAAGTATGAAAAGAAGCTTTTCTATGCTGCAATTTGCAGGGGGTAACGATCATTATAACACTTAAAGCTCTCGTGAATAATGGTGGACGTGCTTAGTCACGTTTTTCTCGCAAATTAAGATAATGCGAGTTTTATGCATCACTGGGAATTTTATGTATGCACATACGGGGGTGGGGGAGGCATTAATACCATTTTACGTCGCATTTTAATTGGCGAAAAAGACCGTCTCTCCCGTATATCATGTTACAATATTTTATAATAATTATTTTATATTGTATCACTGCGACTCGCTTGACTTGAAGGAAAAATAATTTTATTCAATTACGAATGGACTTTTCTATGATGGAATTTTTATTCCAAATCGCGATATGTTACGTGCTAGGGAGATGGCAACGTTGTTGAATGAGATCGATTTTAACTGAGCAAAACTAGAAACTTGGCAAAGCGTAATATCATTTTCGAATTTCGTTCAATCTAATTCTGCAGGACGTGCGCGAATTTTTCCCGCGTAAGCGAGCAAACTTAAAGAGCGGGTTACTGATAGATTGCCTGACGACATGATGAGTTTGAGGGAATTTTATCCGCGGAATCTGACCCAGATTCATCCCTCGAAAGCTACAGATTATGGAAATCGTGTTCTAACAAGCTTGTTAGCTCCAGCGGAAGGAGAATGCACCGACGGTCGATTCGTTGTACGTAGCAGTAGTGGCAGATTTAATAAACGAAATAAACCGATAAACGTTGTAAGCAAGTGTAGGAAATAAGATTTAACAAAAAGAACAAAAGTAACAGGTTTTTAACCTTTTTGTTTACTCTTTTTGCACGTCAATTTCCCCGTTGAGAGATCTGTTGCTCGTAATGACAGAAAGTGAATAAATTGATAGGAAAAAAAATTCTAAATTACTTCCTGAAATATATTTCTCGTAAATATTCGTTGTGCATCAAGATATCAAAGGAAGAAGAATATTAAGGGCGCGCACACCTGTACTCGGGTTCTCCAGACCGCCGCTCACTCCGCCATCTCGAACGGTCCTTCCAGGAGGAACCGTATTTCTCGTTCGAGGGAATTCGGGCCTTCCGGTGCGCGCCGGTGTGCGTATTCCAACGGTCCCATTACTTAATGCCGCCCGCACCTGCCTCCCAACAGGTGATAGGGCCCCGGGCCGATCGCCCGTCGTGTTCGGGGCACGTGCCTCCTCGCTGCAGAAACGTGTCGTTACCGAGTAGCCGCGTATCGCCGGGTACAATCGAATTGCCGTAAAAAAAAGACAAATGGAAAGATCGTACGGTCGAGGCGCGTTTGTCTCTTTATAGCTCGGCCGATTCGAATCGATCCCGGCGCGAAAGGCCTTTAAACATTAACTGCCGTCGTATGTCACTTGCTTCCGGATAAAACGGCGACTCGTATATGTATAGTAACGTACAACGTAACGTATTGTCCTACAACGTATCGTATCGTTTGTGCGCGAACAAGTCGTCGTCGCGCGAACATCTAACTAGAGATAAGTGCAACGGAATGCAGAAGAACGATGGTTAGCGTTAGAAATGCGTCGATTATATAAAATGTGCTTGGAGCGAAGTAAAATTGTTATCCACACGAGATTCGATTGTTTGTCCGGCGTCCCGTTCCCCCGCAGCGTTCAAGTCACATAAATTCACATTACGCCGGACACTTTAAGAGATCTCATAAAATTAAAGCTGCGACACGGTCGGCAGCGGAGCGGCGTTTCGCCGCGGCAACGCGCGCAATACTAACTAGTGTTTTTCCTCCTTGAATAACCAACTGGAATTACACGAGACGATCGTGGCGTCCTTGTATGCGACACCCACATTGCATTATGCTGCAAACTCTCGCGTTCTATCGCGCTACGTCGCGCCGTTATCCTGTTTTCGATCGGCGATCGTGGGACAATTTATTTCTACACGAAGCTTTTGACAAGCGTAAAAAAATTTTTTTTATATCGAAATCGAGATGTAAATATACGAACGTGAATATATATCTGTCTATTCAACTGGTAGCATTCACAGTTGTTAAATAACGCTGTGTGTCGATTGCGTAAAAGAAGAAAAGTTACAAAAAAAATGTATCGCAGTATTTCTCCAAGTGATATAGGCCGTTAAATAACGGCAGCAACATAAATGCATGTCGAACAAGTTGGTTACATCGACTAAGGTCGGCGTATTACGCGCGACAAGATTATCCGAATATATTTACGTAATATATATTTACGTAACTAATGTAGTAATGTAGCTCATACACAATCGCAATAACGTCAGTCAAATATTTGCCGAATGATATATCGCGTCGTCAAGTACTAAAAGCGACCTAAACGAAACGGCTTCGTGCGAAAGAGACATTTTACGCAAGTCTCGGAGATTAACGAATGACAAGATCTCGAAGCCGCAAGAGGCCTCGGCTGCTGCGTTCTCTCGCGAGAGAGAAAGGCAAATAAAGTAACGACAATCAAATTAACAGCGCAAATCTCACGCCTCACCGCTCACTGATTCATTGCCTATGCACCGCGCGCTCGCGAGCGTGTCTTTTGCCACCGTGACTATATATCAACAATGTATCCAGGTTGGATATAAATACATATGAATCATACGTTACGCAAACTCGCAGCTTCGGAAGGGCGTGCCCGGAAGGTATTGTTTGCCGTTGTATTTCTATATCGCGGTTTTCCTCGCCCGCAGCTTTCGCGGAAAAGTATATAGTTTTGTAGTACGTAGTCCGGTTATCCCCCGAGAGAAAGAAAGAGAGAGAAAGATATCGAGTAAGCTTCGCGTTATTTCAGTAACATCTGCCGTGCCTATTCGTGTTGACACGTAACTGTCACACCATATGTTTACGAAGCAAACAGTAGATTTTCAAATAAAAACGGTGATTTCACTAGAAAAGGACAATTCCGAATATACGTCGCTCTTTCTTCGACGTATATATCTTCAACAGCTAATCGGTTAATGTAACAATGAAAGC